AAAAAAAAAGGAAAAATAATAAGAAAATTCAGAACAAAAATTAACGCATAAAATGCAGAAATCCAGACAAATTGAGCAAGAAAACGCACCTGGCTGAACAAACGAGGAAGAAACTTAGAGAGAGAAACAGCAAACGGGCAAGCTTCAGTCCTGAAAGTTTCTAGAGAGAGAATCAAAGCCGCGACGACAGTTGAGAGTGAAGGAAGAGGGAGGAGAATATGGAACGAGTGGATAAACTAATTGGGGTCATATATTGCGACTCTATTGTAATAGCGCAAATACTTACGTGTGCCCTGCCACACCTAGTTAGGTCTGTCAGGACAATAATAAAATAAACATGTTATTTAATAAAATGCACATGTTTATTTTTATTATATAACATGTAATGATAAAATGAACATGTTACCTAATAAAATGAACATGTTCATTACATGTTACATAATAAAATGAACATGTTCATTTTATTATTGCTTGTAATAGGCACCAAAGAGTCAGTGTTACTATATAATAATTTTAATTTTTTTTTTCTTAAAGCCAAAACCCTACTTTTTTTTAAATAATATTTTTTCTTTTTATTTTTTCCTTTTACTTTTTTTTAAGGAGACGATACGGTCCCGTTACGAAACTATTCCGTCGTAGTTCGCAAACGTTAGATCAATTATTTCTGACGGTTACATGATGATCTAACGGTTACAAATCTGACGGAATGATTTCATAACGGAACGTAACATTTTTTTTTTTAAAAAAAATAGCTACATACATGCATCACGCTTCTTGAATATAAAAAGTGAATAGATTGAGGTAAAGTTTTTTACTTTTGTTGGAGATAAAGACACCTTATGAAAGTATATATGAAAACTATTATTAACCAACCTCACACCTAACATAAGTTCACTATTAGGTGGATTTAATCAAATAGATAACAAAAACACTATGATATTGTGACATAGAATGTCCGACCCGAGTCGACCAACGGATTAGTCAGGGTATAGTTCTGGATACCGTGGCTGGCTACAAAAAAAAAAAAGTCAAGCTCATAACTACTAGGAAAAAAAAGAAAAAATTATAGTTGGAGCACAACCCAATTCCGCTCGTTCATTTATTCAATCTAGCGGTGCTTGAACGACTAAGTGAGGTCATCTATTAAACGAGCCGACCAAGCTCCTTCACTAACAACTCATTTTCCTTCCGCAGTTTTCGGACGAACAGTCGAGCCGAGCATGTTCGTGTACGCATATATTGTGCTGGCTAAAAGTTCATTTACGATTTTGAGTTTGTTATATACGAGTGGAGTTGAACCATGCTCGTGCTATGTTCCAATTACAGAATAAACAATCAAATAAAGCAACAAAATTTACTTCCTCATAGCAAAACCGTCTTCTCAATTACAAAAAAGTTTCTATTTTAGATGGGGATGCCGCATTAATATATGACAATTGTTGAACATTCCGCCCAGTGTATTATGTTACGTTGTCTAGAAGTCGAGGCATACTCATTACTAAAAGGAAGAAAAAAAAAAAAACAGAGTTAGAGCATAACTCAATTCGGCTCGTTCATTTATTTAATCTTGTGGAGCTTGAACAACTGAGTTACTTCGTCTTATGAGCTGGCTGAGCTCCTTTGCTAACTATTCTTTTTTCTTCTGCAGCTTTCGGACGAACAAGCAAGCCAAACCGAGCTCAAACAAGTCATGCACGAAATGAGACTTCGGCTCGTCGGCTTGTTTAGGCTCTGCTTGGCACCAATAAGAACTCCAGACAGTATAGAATAAACCCTCATCATGTACAATACTTGATGAAATCAGCCAAGTTGACTAACTTTCGGTGCAGAACATAAACAGAAACAAAGCTCGAGGGTGGTTTTGCAATTTTTCAAGTTAAGCAAAGGGTTTTCATTAATACTACAAACCTGGAGCAGCAATAATAATATACCTAAAAAGGCATGGGGAGCATGAACCTTTCATAGAATTTGGCATTTGAAAATAATAACTTGGCGGAAGCATTTGAGATATATTTCAAACTTACTAAGTAACAAATCGAGACATATTTCAAACTTACTAAGTAACAATCGAGATATATTTCAAACTTACTAAGTAACAATCGCCGAATCCAACGAAATATATTTCAATGTGACACTCCCAAAGTCAAAGCTAACACAGTTCAAACAAAAATAAATTGTTACAAACACGAAACGCTAACGAAATAAAAATCAACTTAACATCAAGTAATATTTACTACTTTGCCCAACACGTCACCCGCTCCATCAACCTGAAAGTAATTTTTAGAGAAAGCATGGGGTTAACCAAAAATGCTTAGTAGGGTAGCACATGTCACACATAAATATCACATAATCATCAATTAATGAAAATTTTACGTTCGATAAATCTGCAACATGTTTTACGTGATATATAATTCACGGTGTAAGCCATATATAAATGTTGAGCTCGAAGAATACAAGAATTTTGAACCCGAAGGTTGCATGAATTGCGCGTGGAGAATTACATAATCACAATTTGACAGCAAAGATGACACATTTATTCGAGACATGTAAACCTCAATCAAAAGTAAGTGTGGAATAAATATTTCAAGTACCCAAGTTCTTAGTATCTACACGATAAAATATCCAACATAAATGCACTATACAAAATAATAAATTTAGAGAAGTATAAATTTTGGAGAAGTATCTACACGATAAAATATCCAACATAAATGCACTATACAAAATAATAAATTTAGAGAAATATAAATTTTGGTATTACTTAAATTAGATTAATATTTTCAGCTCGATGACTAGAGTTTAAGCCTCAGAATTTGGGTCGAAAGGATGAGTTAGGCTCTTTATGGATTAAGGTGTAAACGTGAGAACAAGCCAACCCATCACTCCAAATTTCAGGCCTAAACTCACTCACCCAGTCGAACCCACAAGTCATCTGGCGCAAATTCATTTCACTCTTTTCCTTGGCCCAACATCCATCTACCAACCAGCCCAACCCACAAAATACTCCACTAACCAAAAATTTTCACCTTCCCTGGCCAACATTTCTTAGCCCAAGTCAAATATAATAACCCCTCAAGTTACACACAACTCCACTCTGGTTTGTTTCTGAATTTTCACAATTCACACATGAAACTGAAAATCTGAGACCAAAGTCTAAAATTCTTATCTTCCTGGCACAAAGCCAATCAATTTAAATCCGCGCCCCCAAAATTCCTAAATTCCTAATTTCTAAAAATCTTTTTTTTTTCCCGCAAGCAGTACGAACGACCAGAGGTGGCCACCAAGGAGAATTTAAAGAGCAGTAAAATCATATTAATATTATAATTATAATTATTATCATTATTATTGTTATTATTATCGGTGTCATCTTTTATTTCTCGGATGTTAAGAGCACAACACTAGTAAATATACAAAATACTAGTACAACGTCCGTGGATTACACGGGTGCTTGCTAATTTTTTTCTTAAAATATAAAATAAATGAGAAAAAGTAGTTGAAAATTTAAATACCTTTTATAAAAATATTTATATTATTATATATTTGGTATGACACGTTTTTATTTGTGCGACTTACGTGTGTTATATTATAATAATTTTTTTAACTTAGAACACATTAAACATAAATATATCAATTGAGAAATAATTTTATATTTATAATGAATTTGAATAAATATTATTATTTTTATTATTATAAAAATATAATATAATTTATTTATTTAATATATACAATATGGATGCAAATCGAAGATCATCAAAAGATGATTAATTTGATATATTATATATGTAAAACCGATAAGAAATACAAAAGTTATCAACTTTTAAAATACAATTCAATAGCTAATTAAAGGAAACAAATCAAAAGTCAGGGATATATTAATCATTTAGTATCTCACTATGTAAAATCCAAAGAATTAAAGGGTTATATTAGTACAAGTGATATTAAAATACCTAAGTTAGTTAAATAATGTTTATGGAATGTCCGATCCTAGATTATTAATTATTAATATATCAATATTATTTGTCCAAACTTAATTACGAAGCATGATTCTTCGCCAAGTAGGATTTCGAAGCACCAGAAGCAGCCACGTAGGCTGAGCGCATTCAGGAATTATATATAGGGGGATTTTAAGTGGCCTAAAGGAGCAGTGGAGATAACTTGATGACTAATAAGATTCTGACTAAAACATCACACAATGCATCAAAGTTTACATGACGTTAAAGGTGTTATTCAGAATAATTTCTGCAAATGCCAAGATCAAAGATGCACATAAACAAGATTCAGTTTGATTCTCCCAAAAAAAAATATATACATATATAATAATAATAATAATAATAATAATAATAATAATAATAATAATAATAATAATAATAATAATAATAATATTAATAATAATAATAATTTATACATGCACCTTTTGTTCACAAGAACTTTTCAATGCAGGTTACTAGCGTCGACTCGGGGACTGCACCAATGACTGCTTCTTTCTTCTCTCCATTTTTAAATATTATGACGGTAGGGATGCTTCGGACTCCATACTGGGTAGCAATCGAGGGGCTCTCGTCCGTGTTAACCTTGTAGCATTTGAGTTTCCCAGCATATTGCTTGGCCAGTTTGTCGATAACTGGGTGGATCATGCGGCATGGCCCACACCAAGGTGCCCAAAATTCGACCAAAACGGGAGAATCGGACTGGAGCACATTGGACTGCCAGGAGGAATCTGTAACGGCAGGCACTGGATGTTTTCCAAGCGAATAATGTGAAAAGGTCACAACTTATACAATAGAAATACAAAGGTAGATACAAAGGGACCAAGAAATATATATACAAGGAAATTAGAACTATAGAAAGTTGGAAACTGTTTGCAAGATGTTTTGAATAGCGAAAAATCACCTAATGGAATTTGAAAAGCACAAACTGCATTCACTGATTTGCCATTTAGATAGAGAGAAAAATATTCTACTTCCCGTTTATATTAACACCCATGACAAGCGGCAGCTAGCTGGAAGTTACAAACAATATTACATAACTACGCAGTAAAGTGTTGGTGGCAAATATTAAGGTAAGAACGATCAGGTGTAGGCACATATTATAAGAAAACCAAATAATTTGATTACAAGGACAAACAACACTAAGAGTTCAAGACCTTCCGAAGAAAAATGAAAGGTATACAATACATAGATTAGGAATAGATTTGAGGGAAGGAATTCAAATGAAATGATCTGAAGATGGATTTGACATCCTCCAAAATTATTACAATAGCATTGAAATCCTGAAATCTATTATACAGTGGTGCTATATAAACAAACTGAATGAATTTGGGGTTAGGGATTTCAAATCTGTGGTGTTAAGTGCATCAACCAAGTGAAGGTAAAAGGGCATGCTATATCCACGTGTTCAGAATTTGTCATTCAAAAGAGTGAAGTGGGAGTCTTGAAGGATACAAGGTGACTTGGTCCAAGATTCCAACAACGATATCTTATTACATAATAATAGAATCACCTTGTGATAAGGAATATTGTTAGCTGAAGGATGCCATAAAAGAAATAAATGCGACTGATACTGAATAGATAGACATGGCAAGAAGTAGAATCTCAAACATACAATTAAGAACCAAGACAATCCAATAAAACTATTCTTCATTTAAGATAGACTTATCTTCTTAACAAGGAACTTCGTCTACTATCAGAGAATATATTCCCATAAACGGAATAAATGAGATTCCTTGGAGAAAGCAGCATTTGAGATTGAGTTGAGACATGATTTTTCGGAATAGCCTTGACAGGTTAACATGGCATGAGTGACTGAAGCATCTCAACATTATCCTTAAGAATATTACAAGAAATGCATAAAAGTCAACTCTGCTAAAATCCCATGTCCAAACACAAGATATGACCCCGTAGTCATCAAATCAGTATAGGTAACTACTAGAGAATCGACTCGCGGATCGGTCAATGAGGTTCGAGGACCTTCGAACCAGTAAATCAATAACTCAATCAATTAAGTGAAGATAAATATACCAATTTATTTGAAAAGATCCCAATTTATATAACCATACAGATACTATCACCAGTCGAACAAGAAAACATCACTAGTTTCAGTGACTTTCCCAACCATCTCATCTCTCGATCACATCCCAGCCCACGCAACGGTCGATCAATGGGTTCCCAACATAAAAATTCAACTCAGCAAAAACGAAAAGAAAAAACTTTAAGCAGAAAAGACACGCAGAGAGCGAAACCAAATACCTTCGAGAGCTGCTTCCTGCGCCTCGCAGACGATTCGGCCGCCACGGCGATCGAGCCTCAATCTCGAGCTCAACGGAGCTGATGACCGCGCAGGATGGATCTTCAGGCCTCTGAAATCCGAGGATCTGAGGGAGACGCGGGGCCGAACGGAGGACCCGACCACCGGAGCCGAGCATGCCGATGGAACAGCGGAGGCTCGTGGCACGTTTAGGGTTTCCAGCACAGCCGCCATGGCGAAGATATCGAAGAAACCGGTGCAGAGAGAGTGAAGTGCACGCGCGCGAGTGAGATATCGATATAGATAATGAAGCCGGAAAATGGGAGTGGAGAAAAAAGAGTGGTTTGGTTTTGTTTGGTGTATTTCTTCGCGTGGATGAGAATTGTTGCAGGGGTCACGTGCCCCTCACGTGAATCATATGGATGTGATGACTGGAGATTGGGCTTAGGCCCATTTAATTTTGTTCGGGCTCGCCAGTCTAAATTGCCACTTAACCATGAAAATCAAAAAGAGAAATTTATCCCACACACTATCCAAATCAGTTTTAATTGTATATATACTATCTATATTTTTTTTATTTGCAATTATGCTAACACCTTAACTTTTATTTGGAATAATACTACAATCTTTATCTAACACTTCCCTATCTTCCCATTTTTATTCGCCGTCAATTCTTCTCTTATTTCTTACTTATCTCATCTGCTTCTTCTCATCGATGTGCAGATATAACTTCCCAAATCCAAAATCAAACCGCCACCTTCAAAATTCTTTTCAAAACACCAAAATTTCATCACTTTTTTCTTGTATTTCAGTCTCGATTTTGCAGATCTTGATGGTGGACGATGCCCAGGTGACGAACAGAGGAGCGGTGATCAGCGGCGCGGACTGACGTTAATTTCCCGAACTGATGTTGTACAGTGACCGGCGAAGGGCGACCGTGACCTAGGGCGTCGATCTCCCTGCTCGCGATTTTCATCTCCACCGGACAGTATATATGTCATATCTATGTAGTATATTTATACATTTTTTTGTTGTTTGTGTAGTTGCAGGTATATATATTGTATATTTTTTGTATATATACTGTTTATATTTTTTTCATATGCACACTATTAGAGTGTGTATAGTTTGGCTTTTTCGTAGGATCGACATGATCCTAAGTATATATATTGTATATTTGTCGTATATATACTGTTTATATTATGTATATTTTTTGTATATGTTGTGTTCATCTCGTTGATCAGAAAATGGACGACGCTGCTTGTGATTGACGCTGCTCGTGATGGACGATGTTGCTTGTGATTGTATAGTTCAGATTTTTTTTTAATTAATGAAAGAATACCGTCAGTTACGGGAATCTTATGATGACAATTGTTTATTTTTTGTTTGACAGTAGTTATCTAAATAATTTTGTTAAACTAGGCATATTTGCAAATAAGTTTTTATTTTTGTATTTATGCAATTCTTTTAAATTCCTTACTGTATAAATGCAAATTGCCCAATCAAAAATATTACACAATTCACCTATAATTTTTATTTATTTTTTTTATCTATACATTTATAAAGTTTGTATTTTTTAAAATTTACACCATTCAGCTACACTATTTTATTTTTATTTATGCATTTATAAAGTTTGTATTTTTAATTGCAACTTTTTATGAATGACTGGTTTAAAGTTAAATCTTATTATTAATATTCAAATTACATTATTTTCTGATTTATGTCTCATTTCAAAATAGTTTATTCTTATATGATTGAATTTTCAATGTTATATGTCTACAAAAGTTTTTAAAAGGTAAACATATAAAAATGTCACTGACCATCTTAGTAGTGGTACTAATGGATCATAAACAAAAGTCATAGAACTAGTAATATATAAATTAATATTATTTTAGCTCATTATAAGCTATTAAAATACTAGATTTGGTTTACACACAGAATACATCTCCTGGAAAAAGATTATCAATTTTTCCAAGTTAAACTGAAGGTTCTAAATCTCAAACATATTGTCATCTTGTATCAGGGGAGAAAATTTCAGCTCATGTTTTTCAATCTTACAATCAAACAAGTGCCTGCTCAAAATAAAACTTAATACTAACTACAAACCGATTTGATGTTACAACACTCGTATGGGAATAAATACCGGCAAAAGGTACAAAAATTGAAAACGAGCCAAGTTCATATCGTCAAGTAAGACATTTGGGCAAAACCGTAGTAAAACTTAACCATAAGGGCCCAGAGGAAATTATGCCGCTAGTGCAGGTTCCTTTCACGCATGTACCGCTCTATTTTATCTACGTCTTCAGGAACATCAACACCATGGGCCTCGTGATCGACTTTTATAACCTGTGGAAGAACGAAACTAAATTATAAACCTCAATGGCCTTCTTTGATGATGAATGTACTGTATACAAAAATCAAGGCCTTCCCAAATTTTACACAATCGAATGTGGTAGTTACGTGTAGGGCTCGAGTTCGACTAATTTTCGAACATGTTCGTGTTCGTTCATTCGATATTCAAACAAAAAAATTTGTTCGTGTTCGTTCGTTTATATAATCGAACTTGTTCGTAAACTATTGAATTGTTCAAATTGTTCGACAAATCCGTGTTTGTTGACCTTTTTTTAATTTTAATACCAAAAAAGTTATTTTATTTAATATTTATTATATATCCATATTTATAGATATTCTATATGTAGATACTATATATAATATAAGATTATAAATACCTTTTTGTTCGTTAACGCTCATTTAGTTCGTTCGATAACTAAATGAGCATAAGTTCATGTTCGAGTTCGGTTCGATTACTAAAAGAACGAGATGTTATAGAACACGAACGAGCTTTGTTTGTGAACAATTTGGTTCGACAACAGCCCTAGTTACGTGGATCATGGAAAAGTCTTGAACTTTGCACTTTCACAATAAAGCTAGGTGTTTTGTTATCATACCAATCTTCGTGGGTGTCTTATTCGGTAGTCCTCAATCATATATGTTAAATTTACACGAAAAAGACAATAACCGAAGAAAACAGGAGCAGCATCAGTTAAACGAACATGAGCAGAGATTTAATACAGCACCTTCATTTTATATCCATTTTCAAGGACCTTTAGCTGTTCCAGATCTTCTTCGAGCTGCAGTGGAGTTGGCGGGAGCTCAGGGTATATCTTGAGAAACTTCGAGTCAAAGCTCTGTCAAAATACAAACTTCCGCAATGACAACACAATGCAAAAAACCAATTGTGAGTATGTTAAAACACTGAGATTATGTGTTTTGGGTACCTGAATCCCCAGATGAAGTAAATATGGAAACTGAGGGTTCACTTTTCCAGACCTGCATTTCGATGAAGTTAATTTATACCTGACTGTACTGTTTAATAGACTGCAAATAGGATAATAGCTGTAGGAGAACTAACTTGTTAAATGGTATAAGACCTCTCGAGAAATAAATCGCATAGCCACGGTTATCTACCACACATTTGACACGATTAGGATCAAAAGCATCTTCGGGTTTTAGAGAAGTAACGGCTGTGCTAAAGACTGCATCTGGAGAGGCCTGCACGAGCCACCTTTTGGTTGTGAGTGTGCTCGAGGATAATGGTACAATGTTTTCAAGCACAACAACGTACAGTATATTCACACACACACACATATATTTCCCAAATTTAAGTTTCTTTTTTTTGAACTTGGCAACTAACTGTGGGTCCTCAATGCTCATGTTAAACCACAAAAGGAAGAGTATAAACTGTTGGGCAATCGTAACTGAGAATTCAACCAAGTGCCGAACATTTTATTAGATATTATGCATGTTGCACTTAAGTCAAGGTTTTGGTCTATTCAAATGTATTAGTAATTTACACGTAGCAATGCATACAAATTTCCGAAAATCAGCGCTCTCCTATCGATACTTCATCAACATCAACATCAACATACCCAGTTGTATATTCCCAACAGGTTGGGGTCTGGGGGTCAGTTGTACACAGACCTTACCCTTGTAATTATACAAGGAGGTTGTTTCTATAGCGACCCAAGCTCCTATCGATACTTATAAACATTAATTTCCTAATACATCCAATGGCAAGATTTCTGGGTCAAATGCCCTAGTCCTACTTGTCCTCTAAATTTCTACATTACATTATTGGACAATAATTACTATAGTTTCAAAACTGAACATCGAACATTGGTATATCATCATTAACAAACTGTGGTCATAATATAACATATATCTCAGCAAAAGCCAAAAGCATGCTGATTAGTACAACATAAAATTTGATAACACACGATTTATCTAACAAAAATCATTAGACGCCATAAACACTCAAGAGTCAAGATCATATATGAATCCCATGGCCAATATGGATGCAAAATCGATGATGAAAAGGAGAAATCTACATACAAAAATCCTAAAGATCACCCCATTTTCTCTTGAAACCAAAAATTAATTAGAAACAAAAAAACTATGTTACCTGGAGAGCTTTGACAATGCCATCTATGATTTCGGGTTCTATGAGCGGCTCATCCCCTTGAATATTGACAACAACATCATATTTCTTACTGAGCTTCTGAAGAGCTTCATTGCACCGCTCGGTTCCTATAAAAAATTCCCCAACAAAAAAAACTTATACAAAAATGAATTGTAGAACATCATGTGATTCAGAGAGCATAAACTGCACCTTTGTTATATACCATTTCGACATGATTCTGCTGTCATTACCACATCGGCACCGAATCCTCTACAACACTCGGCAATCTTATCATCGTCAGTTGCCACAACTACACAAGCAATAAGAACACACCAAATTACCAAAACAACAAAAGAATCACAATAACGGACAGATATAATTTAGATGGAAGTGCCCCATACCTACGTGATTCAATGTCGCTGCCATTTTCGCTCTTTCCCATGTTCTCTGCACCATCCATCCAAAGGGAAAAAAAATTAAAAACAAAAAAAAAAAAAAAAGAGCAAAATCACAACTCAAATTACTAAGCAGTCTCAATTTTCCTTTCATCCTAAATGGGAATTAACTAAACAAAAAATCTCTGCTCCATCACAGATTAAATTTGACAGAAAACACAAATCCTCCAAAAAAGAAGAAAATAAATGAACAGTACAGAGATAGAAGAAGAAAATCGCCAATTCTCCTATGGAAACAAAAAGCTAAAATAAATAAAATAAAACAAAATAAGTACTTGGATCATGGGCTTGCCGAGAATTTGAACCAGAGGCTTTCCCTGGAAGCGAGACGAAGCAAATCTGGCGGGTATAATTCCGACGACCCGGCTCCGGAACTTACCGGATCGTCGATAGTACAAGTAGGCATGGGCACCGAGCGCCGCCAAGGCCGCCGCCCCAACCGCCAGGCCGTGAATGATCCAGGCTTTCGTGGAGCTGGACCTGGAAGATGATGACGTGGACGACGGCGAGAAAAGGTTGCAGATCGGCATGTGTCGGCCAGGAAGCTTTCGCTTCTTACTGGAGCTAGTGACTAACCGTTCAGATAATCATTTACCATTATAACATCAATAAAGTAAAATGTTATTTAGTGTTTTTAATTTTATGATATATAGATATATGATTTACTTTGATTAAAGAATATCACTTCAAAGCTGTAATAATTCAATACTTATTTTACTATATTTTAATAAATAAAAATATAATTAATGAATAGTTGAGGCATATTTGAGCAAAATTTTGCATTATACAAAATAAACATCTACATTCTATATATTTTTTTTTTTAAAAAAAAAAAAGGTTAAGATATTTTATAAATAAATTTTCCCCCTAAACTGTAGTTTACTAGATAGTAAAGTATTTATTTTTATTCTCCAGTTTCGTCTTTAAAGATATATATTTTCAATTAGTACAAAACTCCATTTATTAAAGAATTGCTGTGATCTTCAATTCTAACTCCAGCCACATTTTTTTGCGTGAGGCGGTCTAACTGTTAAACAGATTGACTTATCGTACCATTTCGACAAAAGTTACATTTTTTTATACTATCAAAGGTCATACTTCTATTTCTATTGTTTTTAAAATATAACATTTTGTAATAGAAATATTTAATAATACTAAGAAGATATGAAGGCTTAATAATGGTTAGGTAGACCGGCCAATTACAACTTAATGCTATGGCCTTGTTTGGTAATCAGCTGTTAGCTGTTAGCGGTTAGCGGATTGAATTAGCTGTTTTGACCAGCGGATTTTATTAGCTGTTTTGACCAGCTGTTCGTGTTAGCGGTTTGTAAAAAAATGTTTGGTAAAATTAGCAGTTTGTAAAAAGGTATTTCTCAATTATTATTATTATTATTAAATTAATTATTAACTAAGTAATTTTAATTACGTTTTTGTATTTATTAAAATTTAAGGTAAAATAACTAATTAAATATTAAAAGTTGCAACTGTAAGTTGCTATTTATTACATTGATGTTTGAAGAAAAAAAAAAATTCAAAATAATTACCTATAAAGAAAAAGAATTTCAAAATAATTATTCCATCATTATAAATTAAAGGGAACTAATTTTTAAATAAAATAATAGAATAAAAAAAAGTAAATGCATTGTGGAATATGAATCATAATTGCAACTTTGTAGTATACAAATGGCATCCAAATTGTCCACTTTTCACATAATTAAAAAAAAAAAAAAAAAAAAAAAAAAAAAAAAAATGAAAAGCTAACCATAAACGTTGCTCCCAGCAGCGTTTCCAAATACGGCTTTTTTGCTCAAACAGCTATCTATATCTATATAATGGACCAATCTTTATTGCTATAATTAGCATGATTTTGAGCGGGAAATTTTTCGTCTATATTTAGAATTTAATTAACATTTATATATTAGCAAATCTTATGCATAAACAAATAATTAATTATAATTAATTTTTATACATTTAATGAATGATATTCATTAACTACAAATGGACTTAAATTGAAAGGTTGACCGTAGATTTATTAGAAATATTTTAAATAAGATCTTATATTAATTTAATAGTAATTTATTGACACAATTCAAAAAATTATTATAGAAATTGACCTGATTAAATATATTATCATCTATAGTTGTAAGTATTAATTTAATTAATTATATTCACTATTCAAAAATACTTAAAACGTTTAATAACATAACAGAATAACTATGTTTAAATCATAATAACTTAATAAATAATTTAAAATATTAATAAAATTTTAAAATGTAGTCAATTTAACTATAAAAATGTACATCCCCATTCAACATATTATATGCAGTGATAATAATATTGAAAATTTAAATAATATACTAATAAAAATACAATTTGATGTCAGGTGCAATTTAGAATTATAAATTTCTCCTTAGATGTATCGATGTACAATAAAAAAACTATTCAATTTTTTAAAATATATATTTTTTTTCTTGTATACTATTTTATAAATGAAAAATAAGTTAATAATAAAGCAATGTATAATAATTTAAATTATAGCACTTGGTATTAATGGAAATATATAATATATATAAATATTCGAATAGATAGTATGTAACTAATTATATAGGTTGAAAATGAATTAAAGAAATAAATACAAATAAAAATAAAAATAAAATATTTAACCATAAAATAATTGTGTGTTTCATAAGAATTAAAAAATTTCAAATTTATTTATCAAAATTTGTAACATTTAATGCACTTAATAATTATAGCGGGAGATAAAAATTGTGGGTTAAACGTTGGTCAAATATCAAGCAATGTGCAAATTATGAATTATTAACAAAATTATAAGACTATGATAAACGACAATTTTATAGGTACATACATGTAACTTGTATGCAAGTATCATATGATCTTATACATTTATAATATTATATAAACTTATAAATAATAAAATTTATACATTAAATAGACAAAAACTACAAAAAAAATATATAAAATAGAAATGAACAATAATAGAAATAAATAAATGTCATATTGTTACAAAATAGAATATTGTGGAGAATATAATTTTATATTGTCTTAAATAATTTTATAATATTTAAATAAATAATATTATTTGTATTGCACACTGTGCATCGCACGGGTATCAACACTAGTTAGCATAAGCTCTTTTACCAAACATTAATTTTCAGCTGGTCAACCTTTCAAAAAAGCTAACTGATCCAAAAACGCTAAAATTTGGCTGAAACGCCAATAACCAAACAAGGCCTATGTGTGGTGCGTGCACAAACTTCATTTTTCATACCACCGTAAGAATATCAACACACACAATTCCTTAGGGCGACTGGCTACAAATTAAAACCGTTTTGACTGATCGAATAATTTTTTTCACCTTTTAACCCAAAATACAACTCAAATTGAATCCAACCCAACCCTCCTCAATTCATTCTCGTAAATTTCAATTCACTATTCATTCACTCATATTTTTACTATCTATTATTTTCAATAGCATATCTCGTACCTTTTTACATCACGTCAACTTTAATTATTACATGTTAAATATAATCACACTCAATCCCGAAACTAACTCACCTGTAACCAATAAAACCAACCAAAACCAGTTTTATTTAAAACCTCATCATTAGTATACATCTTAAGTTACCTTCATCATGTGTCCTTAACAGTACACATCTAAATTGAAGTTCCCTCATCACTTACCTTGTAAAGAAACATAAATTAGGTTCCCTTAGGGGCCAAGGGCCGTTAAGACATAAAAGCCCCGTCACCGGGAATGCTACAAGCTGCCGCCATAACCGCCAGATTCCCGGCCACTGCCTGAATGGCCGTACTCAAGCCAGGCCCGTGGGCCTTGGCCACCTTCTTAACAAATTTCCTCTCCTTTCGAGCCTTCCTTTTCTTGCCCGACAGTTTTGCCACACCATTTACGAGGGGCCCATTCCCACGTGGTTGGTTGCCGCGATGGGCAACGAGCAGTTGGTCAGATGGTTCTGAAGTGCCCAAGAACAAGTTGCCGAGCACCAGATTTCCACTGGGCCTGCCCTTTCGATTAAGCAGCACAGCATCCAGCCTAATGATGGCGCTGAGGATGCTCTTGTTCGGGCCGAGTCGGGCTAAGGCTTTTGGGTTGGTTAGAGTGGTGAACGCCACCGCAAATGCTGATCTCGCCTGTCGGATACAACAAATTGGAAATCGATAAATTACCCTCGGAAAATTCAACATCTTCGTTAACTCGTTAAGATGCCAAGTAATCAAAATTGAGGGACTAACTGTTGTTGTACTTTTACGAAGGGTATATAAATGTGAAAAGATATAATACCCTTAAAGCATCTGCGGTTAAGTTGGTTTTTTTTGTTATCAGGTCAATTCTCAAGAGTTTAATAAACCAATTTTCTGAGTTAAAAATCAATGGTACAGAGTTCCAGTAAATTATGGATTTAACTCAAAGTATACAGCAGTTATGACAAGAAACAAGCCATTCCAGATGTGGTGTCGGCCACTTTCTCAATAACAATAAAGCGACTGCCTGAAAGTGTGAGCTTTGAATTTTAGGACCAAATAATTGAAGCTCAGACATTGGAAATATTCTACATTATCAGCATTGCAAGAAACAAGCCATTCTTGATGCATTTATCATTAGAATGTTTATGTATTATTGATGCATTTTTCTTCCTTGTATGTGGCAAGAAAATCCTAGAATGTTTGTTATATACTTAGGTAAAAAAGTGAAGAATCCTATTCACTTTGTTGTTTTGCGCATTATGATTTTTGGCGGCTTGTTCTTATGTTTCTTGTTGTTGTGGTCCTCCTCCCCATCTCAAGTCTGATTTGCCAATAGGCGAAGTCATGAAAAGATTTCGTAATCCAAGGTACAAAAATAGCTTTGTGCGGACAACTAATGACACACCTGCAGAGATGATAATATCTTATTCCTCATTAAGTGGAGGAGTTCATGTTTTACTTGAACCCGACCTTACTCCCAAAACTTGTCAAAACTTGTTGGGATCTGTTTAAAACTTTAGAAATCCTGTTATAATCAATTTAGACTTTTTAAGACTTTTAAAAGTCTTGAAGTATTCATTTGAGATTTTAAAAAGTCTTACAAAATCCTGATATATTTATTAAACTTATTTGAGACTAAGATTTGCTAAGACTTTTTAAGATTTTGTAGGATTTTAAAGTACTTATACCAAATCCCATCTCAAAACTTTTCACAGGATTCCTTCAAAATCTGAAATCTTAAAAAATCTCAAATCTTAAAAAGTCTAAAAATATCGCTAAAAATCCCAATTGAATACAACCCCCTTGATTTTTATAATCTCGATTTTGGGTTTGGTCAATTAAAAAGGAATTGAAGAACAACAAATTATTGATTATTGTGTTACATACACAAATGGACCAAACCTAAAATCGAGATTAGGCATACACTAATGAAGTATTGAAGTAGGGTTGGGTTCAAGTAAAGCATGAATTCACCTACATCATCATCGTATGAGAATCAAATATCATCATCTCGGGAGCCAGCGCCCTAAATCCAAACAAGAAAAAGCTAAAGGAGCAGTTGTCGGCACAAAACTGCTTTTTGTCCCAATCAACAGTTGATCACAGCGTCTTTCAAGTCATGAGACTTCGCAAATTGACAAATCAGACTTAAAATGGAGAGTAGGGGAAGGAGGAAACAAGAAACTCACAAACTCACAATAGGACTTCTTACCCGAGTATATACATTCTAGGATTTTCTTGCCACATGGAAGAAAAATACACCAATAATAAATAAACCTTCTAATGATAAATAATAAATAAACCTTCTAATGATAAATACATCGAGAATGGCTTGTTTCTTGTAATGCATAAAGCGATGTCGATAAATATGAGCTTTGAAGTTTAGGACCTTGCACAAATAAAGTTGAGCAAGGTGAATGCTGATAATGTAGAGTATTTCCAATTTGAAAGGGGGAATAATAAGCTGCCTCTGGTTAGAACGAGAACAGTTATAAAGAAGAGATATTCAGCCCCGAATAGCTTTTTGGAAATAAGTTCTGTATCCTTAATATAATTAAAACCCTGCATTCCCTTTATATTAGTTGGTACTGTCCCGTGTGGTAAAAAATCATACCCTATGCCTACAATGACGTTGAAGAAAACTTTCACCTGATTATAGTTGAAGGAGTTCTTCCCAATGTCGCTGTCTGGAGCCTGTTTTTACAGAAAAAGGTACCAGTAAATTACAAAAAAACTTCACAAACTCGTACAAGAATATCCTAATTTCATATTTTAACTCACCCAGAACATTAAGCTAGTAAATCATGCAGTCCGAATTCTCAGTAGAAAACAACTAAGTTTAAAAGAGATAAAAGATAAACAAAAACATTTGGGCAGTATTTATTGTCGTGCACAATGTCCCTGGACAAGGTATATAATTTTCAGAGGGTGTCTTTTGGTTAATAGAAAGAACAATAATTCAATTTTCAAAATTTTACCTGCGGGTCCTCAATGGCGATAAGAGGTGGCTGACCTTCAACTGAAAACCTGACAGCCACATCAGCCCATATCAATAAGCAAAAGCCATTGTAGTAAACATAAAAATATTTCAACAAAATATAAAAAACCGAGGAACATTTTAACAACAATACAAACATATCTTACCCTTTATTACTTTTTGGGAAGAAAACACCTGCACCAGTGCAAGATACACCAACATCAACTATATTCAACTTGCACCCATACATGTCAAAAAAGTTCACCTAAGTTTCACAAGAACGCACAAGATTGGATTAGATTATTACTTGAAGGCTGCACAATGATCTCACTACGGAGAGAAGCTAGGAAGTTTACATAATAGTTATAAGGAATTTCGCACAAACAAAGATTATGCCACTCCCATTTAGAAAAATATTACCAGTAACACTCCTAGGTTACGCTCGGGAGAAGCTTGACGATCATGGTGAGTCTGCAAAGTAAAAACATATCAGCCTAAAAAAATTGAAGTATGAAAAAAGTGAGATGTGCAAAACGAAAGTCAAGACGCCCACTAGCTAAATAGGCTGCCTACTTCATAAAGAAAAAGAAAGTGGAAAACATCTAGCGCACTAGCTAATTGAGTTTATATTCAACCCCAAAAGATTACACCTTCACCAATCCCAAAATTTTGGAAGGACCTCATTCTGATAGTATTGCATTGAAAAGTTAAAGCAAAACTTCTTAAATAACATACCAACATATATTTGCATGAAACAAAAAAAATAAAAAAGTCATAAGTGGTTTTTGCACCAGCATACTTACCCGTAACATCGCTATAAGCATAGAGAGAAGCGCATAGGATCCGATTCCACCTGTGTACACCTGAGGAAGAATGGAACAGTTTAGGTATTTAGAAACATGTTTACAGGGTAATAAGTAATAACTGTCTTTCTAAAAAGAAAAGAAGATAAAAGAATATAAAGAATAAAGAAAGAAAACATCACCTCATTCAACTCTCTTTGCTGCAAGAAGACCTTCAAAATCAGACACAACGGCCTTAGTGGTGGCCATTTAGATACAGCATCCTGTTGTAATAACATAAGATTACATAAATATATCCCATGAATTAGCTTCGCAGATTGACCAGACAAAATGAATAGATCCAGCAGGAGGCAAAGCAAACACCTTAATATACTCTGCAGCTTGTGGTCCATTTTGAACATCAAAACTGTTACGGAATATTAATCTTAAAGAAAGTAAGCAATGGACAAGAACATACGGTAACAACAGATAGATAGATAGAGAAACAAACACAATACATGCACATATATATATATATATACACAGAGAGAGAGAGAGAGAGAGAGAGAGAGAGAGAGAGAGAGAGAGAGAGAGAGAGAAGTAATTTAAATGAAAGCAATTTCCCTTAACCTTATATCAAATGCCACGCCACTTTTCCTTTCCACAAATTTGATAATTGGTACCCGTGCCTTTGCAATGACCTATTGTTGCAGAATACATATGGTTATTGAATATATCGTAAAGCATAACTTTAGGAATGGCAAATCCAAACACCATGTTATCGACTTTATGTTCACATTCGTGGAGAAAACATATTACCAGCATAGTCAGATATTTTTCCTTGTAATTATTATTGTTTGATTCTAGTTTAAAGATATTATTTTCAACCAGAGGAGAAAAATAAGGCGTGATATCCTACTTTCTTATTTATGTGATTTTGTAATCACTGTATTCTAAAGGGATGGACAAGAAGGATCAAAGGGGCAATCCAGAATATTATCTTCTTCTGTTGAGATGTGGGTCTCTCTCTATGAAGTCCTAAGGTTTGAACTCCCCTTGGTGAGTTCACTTATTACTTATCACCATATGTTGATCCAGGATAAATCCATTTCCGGAAACTTTATTTTCCTGTCAATCTTAACAATACACGAAATACTGGACATGTAGCTCCAACATACTAAGATAGATACCTGTATCTGCTTTGCAATTCCTCTTTGAGATAATGCCCTAGAAAGAGCACGCAGACCCATCTGAGGACTTCTAACATTTGAACCCAATATGACAACCTGACAAGTTAATGATTAATTTGCATAGCCTGATAAATGAATGACTTTTCTATTTAACAGATTCGCCTGACTAAGAGTAAATCCTCCCAATAATAAACAAAATGATGGAATGATTTAGAAATCTTTCCTTTAGAAAAGGTTAAGGTAAATAACAATTTTAAACTATGTGTCCCCAATAAGACCTGCATCACGCATTTTGATCTATTCAAGTCGTGAAATGCTATTGAATATATTTATTATAACTTGATTACATCACAATAGCAGCAGCATATTATAAGCACAAGTAAAAAGGGATTAATACTCACTTTAACCCGACCCACAATCTTATTAAATGCTACAAAGATAATGGGTTTGATTATAGATCAGCCAAATTATCGTCAAAAGTAATGTCGCATGCAAATCCAAGGCCAAACTTTGATAACTCATGGTCCATTTCTAGTCAATGATCCAACAAGTTACATTTCTACTCCAGAAAAAAACCTATTACTCACTTCAAAAAAGAATCCAAGTATAAACAGATATTCCATACAATGTTAACTGTGCAACCCACTGCCATCACCGTCAACAGCAGACGGGCATTCAAGTTCAAGAACATTTGTGAATAAATCATAACAGGATATATACAGAACCTGTCTTCAGTACAACCTAATATAGTAAAACAAACAACCAATAAGCTTACATCAATATCGCTAGAAGGAATGTAAAGCCCAGTCTTAAAAGATCCGAAAACTTCCACCTGCAAGCCAAAGCTCATAGTAAGTTCAAATGGCGCTTTGAAAGCTGATCTTTTCCCCCACAAAAGCAAGCATGCAAGCATGAACTTTCATGGTACCTCAGCACTAGGCCATAAATATTTGATAACGCCAGACACAGATTCTACAGCAGCATTCCTAGATTCTTGCTCCTCCGGCGTTGGTGATAGAAAATCACAAAAATCAAGTATCTCTGAACATATCAAATCCAAAATAACCGACCATCAACCATAACCGGAGGTATCAAATATTCATGTCTAAAACACTTAATAGTTAGTTTTTATTTTCTCTAAGCAAGCTGAATTTCAGGGCCAACAGTGTCCCAAACAACCAAAACATCAATCGATAAATTTGTAAACACGTTGATTTGAACTAAAAATATGAATACAGCTTAAGTACCTTTATGAAGCCTCATCATTGGGCTTTTGAAGCGATAATTGGCGCGAGCCCACCTGCCCTCTACCGTCCTCTCCACCGCCGGAGCTGCAGTTTCTGCCAACTGAGGCGGCGGAGGAGGAGCTGCTACAACTGAGGTCTCCCTGTCCTCGGCTCCATTCACATCGAGGGAGAAGTAATCTGGGGCGGCAGATTCCGGCAACGGCTCTCCATCGCCGGCGACGGATATCTGGTTGCGGAGGACGATGTAGGGCTTGGATTGAGAGGAAGCCGGCGCCGCCTCGGTGGCGCCGAGAGGGCTTAGGGTTTCGTATAGAATTACCATCGCTGTTCGAGGGCAGTTAGGCGCGCACGGGCGAAGACCCACCGTTAATTGGGGTGTCCTTTTGTTTTCGGGTCGTGTTTTTTCGTACGGATGGGAAATAGAATAGTTCGACTGCAGCGGGTCGGGTCAATAAAGCGAACGTGTATGGATACGTGGTGGTGGTGGACTTGCGGCGGCCGCCGCCGGTCGGTAGGGCTGTACTGGATCTGAATCTGAATCTAAACAATTATACAAAAATAAAAATGAATATTTTATGTACACGTACAACTGTACAGATGAAATTGAACATAAATTAGTCTTAGAAGAGTTACCCGTAGAGTAAAATTAAGAAAATGATACCATCCCGTTACGTAACCCAACAGAATGAAATGAATTATGAATCTATACTTATATTAAAAGGAAATCTATTTACTAAATATAGTAGGTAGAAAAGTCAACTTTAATTAATGAACTTCTAATTTTATCAAGTAGTAATTAATGCATTTATAATTTTAATCAAGTTTCCTATTTTAGATATTGTTTTTAATCCTTCTTATCTTGACATAAAAAAATCCCATAAAAGGGGGTGAGCAAAAACAATCAAAATTCTGTTTCTAAAAACTACAAATCAATATTACGATTTTGAATAATACACTAACAAATTATAATATATTTTTATAAAACTTATAAAAAACTATTAAAAAAACTTGGTTCGTATATTTGTATAGATATTTATATTTTTTAATATTATCTTTGTGTTAAAAAAAACTATTTAACGCTATTCTTTTTTATTATATAATAAAATAATAATTAAATATTATATGATGAACAAGAATAAATAAAACTGTTACTTTTTTTTTTATATCAAGGGATAAATTTATATACTGAAATTAAAGTTTTATTAGTATAAATATTTTAGTGAGATAATATATTAATTATTTTACAAGTTAGCCCTAACATACTCATATTTAAGTTCTGTCTAAAAAACAATGCTGGTTAAAAGATATGAAAAAAACTTATAACCTTATTATTTTTTAAACTTAACGTTGATCAAAAGAGGTAGAAAATAGATAATAACACTATTACTTTTAAGATTTAAACGGACAAGACTGTTAAAAAAACTCATTTAATAATATTTATGTTCCGTGCATCGCACGGGGTACGTACTAGTACTTATGAAATAAGAACAATAATAAAACTAATTAATAAAATATAAATAATAATTGTAAGCTAATTCTTATAACGGCAAACTTATAACAACAAATCAATTTAGCATAAAAATAGAGCTCAAACTCTAATTGTCAAATCACAATTCATAGTGTATGACCGGATGAGTCGAGCATAGGGCAAATTTGACCCTATAGGAATGCGGATTATATACATCGATTTTCTCTAAAAAATTATACCTTCTTTCGATCGACACATCCAACATATATGGATGTGTATGTTTATGTGTGTGGCTTAATGATAATAAGCCATAAAATCAAATGAGTGTGGATTATATACTTTTTTAGTGTTGAATTAATATATACTTCTGTTGGAGACTTGGATCTAAACTTTCAACTTGTATGGATACGTACATTTGCACGTGCAACTTAATGATACGAACCCTAATTGAATTTATAATACCCAACATGTATTGTAGCTACCTTGGGTCATAATAATGAATATAATAGGCCAGATGTAAGATCGAACACTTCCAGTTCCAACCTGAATATGATAAGAAACTCATCAAACCATATGATCCAACACTTCCTACCTGATATGAGATACCATATTCGGAAGAAAAAATACAATAAACTAGTCAATCAGGTCGAACGAACCGGGTGGTCGAAGCCAGAGCAACATGAAGGTTGGTCGCCGACAAGGAGTCTTCAGGTCGAAAGGAACGAGAGGTTCAAAAAGAAGACGGTAAGTCGGGTTAGGGCCCTCGAATGGCCTGTCGGAATCTCAACCTGTAGGGAAGGGTTGGTCGTACGATCAATCAGAAAGGACAACACTTAGATTAGAACGAGTACCATTCTACCTTAAACGACCTCGAGCTGGTCGCACCATTAGGCGGTCTAATATAAAAGATTAAAGGATAAGAAGGAATTTTAAGGGGTTAAGCGCCACACATGGACAAGGGTCATGTGGCTTAACAGAATTGGGCAATTCAGGTTGTACTGTTGGGCAGTTTGGGTAGCCCCTTTGAGCAGTATTGGGTAGCAAGGTATCATCTCTATATATAAGAGCTAACTTCAACTTCTGACAATTTTGACAGATCGCCTCGGTGAGGGGACTAAGTCTTCTTTTGATGGAACCAGGCCAACTATATTTGAAAATGGATTCCTTTGGGGAGAATTTGAAATTGCGATGTATGCCAATATCACATTATATTCTCCGTTATTCTATATACTTATATTGCACTTCATACTCTATAAGTGCTAACTTAAACATCAGAGACTATTCACCGTAAAACTCAGGTGTGAGAGTTTTTGCAGGTTTAAAGGCGTTCAACCGACAAGGGAGATCATACCAGACCGATTTCCATTCGATCGAATGTCTTATGCATACACTACCTATGTTGATATGTATGTGTATATGTGTGGCTTAATGATTAAAAAAAAAAATAATTGTAGGATTCGACTCTTCCAATATGTATCGACATGTATATGTATGCATGTGGTTGGTTTAATCACAAAAAATCAAATTTCATGATTGTACACTTCCAACATGTATGGATATGTGTATGTATATGTATGCGTGTGGCTAGACATGGTCAAATAGCCTGGAAAATTGGGGCATGAACCAGTGGTGCCATAGGCTTTTTATGTAGAACCAAAACTGTCCCAAGGGTTCAGGCCCTCCAGGGTCGATTCGGGGTTGAACCGTGAAAATAAAAAAATGTAAAAAAAAAAAAAAATCAACTTTTGAATTTTGGTGCCAAAACTGGCCCAAGGGTTTAGGGTTGGGTCTAGGAACAAAAACCATGCACATTCGACGATTCAAAACTTTTTTTAACATGAATGAAAGCTTGATGGAATTTGATTCATTGACAGTGATCAACAATCCGAACAGCTTCTTGATCAATGGGCTTTTTGTCGGGTTGGTTCCAAACATTTGTCATGTCTATGTATGGCTTGATGGGATTGAACACTTCCAATATGTATGGATGTGTATAACAATATATAGACATATGCATATGTGTCATGATGTTAAAAGAATCTAGCTAGGACCGAACACTGCCAACATGTATGGATATGTAGTATAACAATATATATACATGTATACGTACGACTGAAGATAAAAAGAACCCAACATGTGGCTTATTGATAAGAAACCTAGTTTGTGGCTTTAATGACATGAAAACACTCATTTGGCTTAAACTACATAGTTAAAGTTGTTTGGGAACGAGTCTAGAGCTGTTAAATTAAACGAGCCATTCGTGAGCTCGGTTCAAGCTCGATTCAACTCGTTGAATAAACGAGTCAAGTTCGAGTTCATTTAAAGTTCATTCAGTTAACGAGGCGAGCTCGATTCGGTAAGACTTTTATGTATTTTTTATAGTCCGACTCGATT